TTTTTGTAGGATATCACAGAACAATTCTAGTTTATCTGTTATAACCATATAAACATACCAAAATTAATCTTTGGTCGTATAAAGTCAAGTCTAATATGATGTATCGTCCATGCTTGTCTATAAGAGAGTCTCTTGAAAACACACAATTAAACTATTTTTTTTATTTTGCCCAATTGAAGACTTCAGATCTTTTCTTAGCACTAGATAAAAGACTTCTAACATTCATTTACAAAATTTTAATATGATTTTCCATTATGTTATATTGACTTTTTTTTTGTCTATTCACATGAGTAAGCAAAACAATTTATAACAATCAAAAAAACTTAAATAAACTACATTTGCACAATCATTCTCTCTCACATTTGCACTATTAAGATAACCCACATTCATATACGTTTTCTATTTCATGTGTTGCAGCCTGAAGGGCATTAAATACTTCAAATTCCAAAATGTATGTTATTCACATTCTCAAAAACATTTCTTCTATTGTAATCAATTTTAAAATACCATTTATATACAAGTGATATACAAAAAGCTCAACTAAACAAAAATGTCAAATAAAGGCAAAAGTAGTATAACTCTGTTCAAAAGTCATAAATCGATTGAGAGAAAAGAAATCCGTTTTACAAACTAAAACCGAGGGAAACACACCAACATCCACTTTAAGAGGAAAACAACGGAACAACAGAAACAAGGAATTGAATTTTAGCCAAAAGATAACCAAAGAGAGGTCACTATTAATCATTAATGTTACACATTGAAAAATACTTGATAATGATTATTTTAAGTGGAAAAAAAATAAAAAATGATAATTCTAATCAAAATATTAATGAAAATTTTAGTGCACAGTTCCTATATATACTAGCATTTCTTGGTTGTTAGTAAAATATCATATATCAAGACAAATATGTTTCAGGTTAGTCTTTATCTGTCATACAAAAATATGTTCCTACGTTCGTTACCAATTGACATTGTGAAACTACTTCAGTCGCTGATTAATATTATCCTAAATATCAAATTACAAACGTCTACCTGATTCAGTTTTTCCATATACAGCACAGTTAAAGTACCAAGCACTATCAAGTTTACCACTATCACGAAGTTTTGTAAACAGTTCCATGTTGCATTTTGTAACATCATCAACTAATCTAAAAGTACAATGTTTAGGCGTGTTTTTCTTTTCTTTTTTTATGCAGTATCTTACTTCAGAGTTGAGGGGTTTTGCAATAACTAGTCTATGTTCTTCTTGTTTACCTGGTATCCTATAAATAGCTTTGATTTCTTGAGGTCGAATGTTAACCTTCAAAGTGTCTTTAACGATTTTTTTTTTTAAAGATCTCTCTCAGATTTTCATCCTTGTTTTCTTGGAAGTTCATCACTTTTATGTTGAACTTTCTGCTATACTTTTGGTTATATTTAGACATTTGTAATAATTGTTTGGCTATAATTTCATTATCTTTTACACTTGTCTGAAGTTCATGGATCATTTTTCTTTGGCTAGCAATCAACTCTCTTAAGCTTTCTTTTTCTTTTGACAGCTCTTCAACAGCATTTGTCTGCTTATTTGTTTTATCTTTTAAGTTACTTTCTATTCTGTTCATGCAATTAAGTTACAATGTTTTCAATGCTTTGTCAATGTCTTTTTATTTAACAACACCCCAGGCCTACCATTATACTATTTAAATCATGGTGGAGATTTGACAATCCAATTGTCATAACTGCACTGCTATCCGTTTTAACATCTGTAAGAGTTCTCCTAGATGGATTTCTTTTGTCACTACCTTTTTAGCTGCCTGCAAAGTTTGTACAGTTTGTACCTTTTTTGGTCACCTTTTTTATCCCTGTTGTTATAGTTTGTATTAGGCATTGTTAAAGTAAAAAAGGACTCACAAATCAAATCCCAAAAATACTCAAGATAAGTAAAAAGAAGACTACAAGTTGTGAACAGTATTATTGATATTTCTCTCTACACTTTTGAAAAATCTTTCTTCAAAATTTCCAAAGTTCAAAATTCAACTGTTCTCAATAAAAGATATATCACTGTGTAGAGATAATAACACTGAACATCCAGATATAAATATCATGCATTAGTTTCGTCAAAAATCATAAAATTGCTTAAAACTGCAGAGCCCAAAACTCAGTTGACTACCTAGGCGGCCATTTCAAATTTTTCCCTCCCCTTAACCTGGGACAGTTGTGGAACATTACTAGTACAACAAAAGAACTAACCATAAAAATCAGTTGAACTCATCAGATAAATACAAATAGAAATACATCTGACAAAAGCACATAGTGGACGTGACAGGGTAATTATACATCGATACTACAAAACGACACAGATCTGAGAGTACTCGCAGTTACTAATAGCTAGTTAAAAGCCAATAATAACTAATAAAAAAATAATGCATCTAAGACTAAAATATCAATAAGCACACATCCAACATCCAATGGATTAATTAAAAAGATTTCATTAACAGTATATTGCAATGCCAAGATACAGGTATCGACAGCTTGTAGAGCCATAAATGTGCATATGTATTTAAAAATAATATTTAGCTTGATTTTGATTTAGTGATAACAAAATCAATATTAAAACCAATAAAAACAATATTCAAAAATCTAATTACAGTGTATTTTTTTAGAAAAAGTTTGTCTAAAGGATCGATAAGTTTATCCGGGTCGTATCTTAATTTCCGGACTGGGTAAACAATATCTCCGTATATATTTATTAATAGTATTTCATTCAAAGGATTACTGGTCTATTCTTATGTATGGTTACCTTTGTTGGTTTTTTTTCGATCGGCAGTAAATACTTAATAGGGGAGGTCGATAAAACAAACAAAATTAAAGGTTCGAAATTATCGACCAACGGTATGAAGTGAAGGCAACTGTCATATTCCTGACTTGGTACAGGCATTTCCGAAGAAAATGGTAGGTTTTGTATTTGACATTTTATGTACGTATTTTCTTATTCTTTATGTTTAAGTATTTATTTATTTGGTCATCGATTTGTTCATTTGTTCATGTTCTATGTGACGTTTTAGTTATTAACGTTTGAGATTTTATAATGTTGTATCTTCTTTCTTTTTATCAAATATTTTTTTAACATGATTTATTTATCTTTTTCCACACTATTGATATTGCTCTTTCGTGTTCAGGTTACATTATTAGGTGGCGTTTGCATGTATATTAAGTCTTCAACATAGTTTTTCAATTGTATCATCTTTGCATTGTAAGTATGCACTACAATTGTCGTTGTTACTATTTAATTTTGAGGTACAATCTTGTTTATAAAGTTATGAATAGGTATTACCTGATATCCCTTTTTATTCATTGGTGTAACAAATGATTGTATGGTGTATTGTACATATCATTATATTTGAAAAAAAATCCCAAAACATCTTAAAATAATTATTGCCCTTCAAAGGTTTTAATCTAAGGTTAGCTGTGTATAATTCAATTAGGTGAATGACAAATCCATGCCGTCTTTTGCAAAATGTAACGTGACATATAACCTTGACAACAGTCAACCGAAAATGACCTTGAGTAAACTGTAACTAGCGATTTGTGCACTTCTTTCATGGAACAGTAGCTAGAAACCATATATGTTTTTCATAGATATGAATTAACTTATCAAGTGTAAACTGGATGTTGCAAATTTTCTCTCTTATTTTAGGCAAATATATATTAATCTTATATTTTTGGAATCGGTGATTTTTTTTTATCATTCCGCAAATTTGTTTACTAGATTTGGTTCTATCAACATGTAATAGTTTCCACTGGACGTTAACCAATAAAATAATCCATCTTTTCATACAAATCTTTTTGCTTCATACACCAATTACTGTAACATACAGCTTAAAGTATGTATTGTTTGCCTCGTGTGAATAAGATGTTTTTCATAATTTTGTCATCATGCTCTTGTCTTTCCGATAGCACATTGCTATTTCGTCTGTACACTTGTTCATAATTTTTTTCATAAACCTTTCAATTTTTTTACTTTGGAAAAAATACAATGGTAAATAGGGATCTGTTTTGATTAATAACAACATGTTTTTAAATTGTTTGTTTTTATGTTAAATGGGGATATGTAATCGACTCATTCAGTGACAATTTTTACCGAATTTTGCTTTTTTTGGGAGACCCCTTATTGTGGTTTCAGTATTAATCGTGGGATACCAATTTTTATACTTTCGCGGGGAAAGGGGACCACGAATTTAAAAGTTCAATGAAGTTCAAATTTGTTATAGGCTTGTCTGCAGTCATTGGCAAAATAGAGGCAACAGTAGTATATATACTCCTGTTCAAAAGTCATAAATCGATTGAGAGAAAATAAATCCGGGTTACAAACTAAAACCGAGGGAAACACATCAACTATAAGAGGAAAACAACGGAACAACAGAAACACTGAAGTGCAACAAAAGCAAACGCCAATACAACATACATAGAAACGAACTATTTAATAACAACTGACATATTCCTGACTTGGTACTTGACGTTGAAGATGCCGTCTTACGTTATACTTAATTTCTCTCAAACTGTTGGACTGTTATATTAAAAATTCTGATCTGTCACTTAAATCAGTACTTCTCATATCTCAGGGTGGTTTGTATTACAAAAATATTGGACAGAATTAATATCTAGTTAATAAAACCTCCACTAAAAGATCTACTTCCGATCAATAAGGTCGTCGTTAAATGAGTAAACAAAAGAGATCATTTATGAGATGAGGTCGATATAGGTATTTTATATAATTATTTGAAAACTGCACGAAACAGGTTTGTAAATGATACTTGACTAAACTCCGAAATCATCTTAAAACGTTAAGCAAGGATCTAATGATTTATAAGTGGCACATGTCTTTTGTATTTTCCAGATCAAAACAAGTATTTAAACGCACACCTGCATCTGACCGAGAGCAAAAACAAATTAAGCAAATCCATAGAGCTCATAACTATCTACATTAATTTTTATTTTGTATTGATGTATTTTTTGAAAAGGTTATATAATGGAGGAGGGAGTATAAATATGCAGAGTTCCAATGGTAAGACAGCATGGCATGTATCTGCAGATAAATGGAATATTAACGCAATGGAGTATTTGACAAACATAAACAAAAGCAATGACAATAAACAAAAAGGTGTAATTATAACCTGTAAAAAAGAGGACATGAACCTTAGCCAGACAGACAAGTGATTTCAAGATGAACTTTATGTATTTGGAGAAAAAAAGCTATTAAACTTTTGACATATATTTCACAAATCGATACAAAGCATTCTTGATCATAATTTTACCTTTGCATGGAGCATACAAGACCAAACGTTAACTTTAAAACAAGTCTTTGTCAATTGGGACAGTCCATGTCGACTTTAACGTGTGGGCAGGATTTGTTTTATTCCATATTTACTTTAGCGTCTCGCGTACAAAAATTAAATTATGGTATGTATGAGGAGTTTATCAAGTACCAGACCCAACAACTTTACTTCTTTGGGAGTCATAAATGCATTCTTATAACTAGATCTGCTTTCAGGTTAACTTGACATTGGCTTCAGTACCGATGAAATCAGTTATTAAGCCATTTACAAGTTAACCTTAAACATTCAAAATGTCTGGTCATCATTATAACTTGATCTACAAGTTAAATATCTGTACAAGATAGGGAAATACTAACTTTTTAGTTTGTTTCATCTTTGTTGATACAGATCAATGCAGCATATCATTGAGGTGTAAGCATTTAGATTTTTTACACATAAATTGTTTGTGATGTTCAGTTTTGGTTCATATGCGAAACAGAAAAGAGGAGCATTATAGAGTACTTGACACTCCTACTTGAAAATTTGAATTGCCTAAATTCTTAATAATCCTGTTTGATTTGGTATGTTCCACCAAGCTTTGTATATGTTTCTTGTTACAAATATTTAATATCAATTTGTTTGATCAGATTTGAAAATCCATATACTACTGTTGTTTCCTCTTATTTATTACCCCCGAGCTTTATAGTATACAAATAAGTAACAAAATACCTGATGACATATCGCCAAGGATAACAAAAATGTATCAATCGGATGTTGTCAATGGCACTAGGTGTCCCAAATATAACCTGAAAGTATGTCATGAATACGTCCGTTGCTCACATTCATCATTGTGCTACACAAAGTCAGATACGTTTGTTTATATTAATGTCATTACGATACAATTTCTAGGTAATTAGATTTCATTAACAACTGGGAACTTTGTTTTATTTCTAAATAGTGTCGTCAAAATGTTAAACCTGTCATATTCTTTATACTGATATCCGTTTTTAAAGTAACTTGATCATTACCTCTTACATTACACCACGATCGGGATTGTACTACCATTAACAATGTAAACAGTTTTAGTGTATTACTTGTGGACTGTTCTGTTGATCGACTGAAATTAAGCGAAAGAAGGAATGAGCAATGGTCTAATGATGTCGATCCTGATAGCAATAAATTCCTCTATCAACACTTTTACGATTATTACAGTGTTTAGATGAAAGTCGTGCTTATATAGTTAATGACTCTATCGTGAGAACACAATATCGCTGATAAAGAAAACAATTTTGGATTCGAGAATTAAAACAGCTCTTCCATTCGGGTACATAGACAAACTTACGGATGTAGGTATACTGGTTCTTCGTATAAAGAAGTGTAGTGACAAATCAAGAAAAAGTCGCTTATGTTAAGAGTTTAATGGACCACCATACCTCACGACTGAAAATCCAAATAAGGATATAGTAAACATTATACTATCTATTTAGCCCTGTTGCATCTCATATTAACTGTTTATTTTCTATCTGAATAACTTATGTTGCGTTCCCTTCTCATAATTTGCCCGATTCATGATTTGAATTGTTGTTAACACTAAATGAAATTGAGTTATGTCGTGATTTTTGCAAATACGAATATAAATGAGCATCATTTTTTTGTATTACTTTTTGACTCAGTTCATTTGTTAATTTCAGTAGCATTTGAGGTATTTCATTCTTGAGATTTATTTACGGTGAGATAAAATTATTTCCACATCGGAATGGAACCGATTTAATACGGAAACTTTTAAGCTTTTTTTTTTTATTTCTTTTTTTTAGATTTGCTCAACCAGTGCAAAAATGTAATGGCAATCATGCATTTTTGGCAATATTGCTATCACTTAGCATGTGCCAAAGACAACATTAGGAATTAAACCACTAATGCATAGCCCCATTGCTTTCTATGTTAGATTCTGCAAGTCTTAGCATTAATGGATTCTTTGTTTAAGTTCAATAAAGTGGCCGTCTTTTCATGTCAAGATTATACTTTATCCTGCTGACTTGTACTGAAATTTTCAACATACCTTTAATAGCATATAAGAGCGCACTTGTTCCCGGAAGTTTAGTAGTACAAAAACAGGAACGAACTTCTGATCTGAACAACAGGCCGAAAGTGCCCTCCTATTATAATATCATAATTTTCTTTTATTATTTAAAAGAAATTTTCAACAAGGATTCAACGGTGATCCAAAGTCTTTCTTTCTTAAGCTTTCATTTGATACTAAAATTACCCAAATAGTGTTCTTATTCAGAAGTGGATTTAGAGGGGATCCCCCCCTTTCCCCTTTTGTGGGGAAACATTTGGTTGATTATTTAGGGAAAGGGAATCACTGCAGCAGGCTCCCTCTTATAGCAGTCAATGGGCCCCTACCCTTATGAAAATTTCTGGATCCGCCACTGTTATTTACAAAGTACAGCAAAGCGTAGGAACTATGTGGTTTAAAATATGGACTACTTTCTTGTATGTTCTTTCTGACCGGGCCCAAATAAGTGGTTCTATACTAGAAAGATGAATATACACTTGTTGAGTACACAGATGTGCGACGAGATAGTGTTAATTACCATGTTCATGACGAATTTGATTCAATCTCCATAGATAACTTCAGGCAAAAGGAATTGTATCATTCATGATAAATTGTCAGTTATCGACTGAACCGGCAAAAATGAACCTGCTACTGAAATTGCATATGACTTTGACCATAATATTGCTTTTCAAAGGCTAACAGAAAGTAAATGTGATGATATTTTTTAAAAGAAAAATCATATTTGATGCCGTTCTTGCTTGATACGTTTATTCAATTTTTTTTCAGAATAAATTATTTGATAGATTGATTGTTGGTTTTTTAAAGGAGACATGACATGATTTTCAATTTTTGTTCCAAAATGTTTATTTACACACAACTTCCCACAAAAATACATCAATAGCAGTATATGTGTCAAATATTTGTTAAGATATATGTATTTCAATGCATCGATCTGTCGACCTGATAATTATGCATATTTCCATCCCGGAAGTCACTCAAAACGGGGCTGCTACGTCACTGGTTCCAATCATTATTACAGTAAAACAGGTATAACTACCTGATGTCTAATGCATACATGTAGTATGGCCATGCAATATCCTATGCATCTACAATTTAAAACCCCTACCAGTTCTGATAAATAATACATAACCTGTATATAGATCTCATTTTTATAGCTTATAAGAATTTGACGAATTGAACAGGTTTATTGCAGTATGATTTTTTTTACATAACGTTTTTTAGAAAGACAAAAAAATGTTCCTGTATGCATGCAACTATATAGTTTAGTAAGAAATTGTTAGATATAAAGCTCGATAAATTGATACAAAACATACAAAAAAACATGCGTGTAAGCCTGGGTGTACGTGGGCAAAGACATGTTCGATATGTCTCTGACTGGAGCAATCATCTCCAAATCTTTCGCGTTTTATTGAACATCGAATATAATTGTTGACAACAAGACTAGTGAACACCCACTCTTAGTTGATATATTAAACATAAGAACAATCTGTAAAAATCAGTTGCAATGGGCGTAACTTAAAAGATCGGTACGCCATAAAATAAGTACTATCTTTAAAACAAATATCTGAAGCTTTTAGATGTGAGGATAGAGTTTAAAACAAACCATGAAAGTTTTTTTTTATGTATCGTCTGCGACGAGAGTCACAGTATGCGAAACATAATTACAATTCGGCGGCGTAAATTATTTGTTTAAAACTTTATATTTTAGAAGGTAGAAGACCTGGATGTTTCATACCTTGTGTGCAGATACCTTATGCAACGAGATTTTCGTCTGTCATATGGCTATTGTCCTTGACCTCATTTTCACAGTTCAGTGACTGCTTGCAAAAAATTTACAGCTTTTGTGTAAAGTGAATTACCCCTTTTATTATGAGTAATAGGATAACGGGTTCCTTGCGACGTCGACATGTTTGTCAGGTAGGGTTCACCTGACCTCGACCTTTTTCAATGGACCAGTGTTCGAGGTTAAAGTTACGTGATCAAGTCCGTATCTCTGATACTATAAGTAATAGGTCAACTATATTTGGTGTATGAATGATTGGCAGCTGTACATGTCCGTTTCACAGGTTTCGTTTGACCTCGATCTCATTTTCATGGTTCATTAGACAATTTTTAGTTTTTGTGGTTTGGTCTATTTCACAGATATTATAAGCAAAAGGTAAATTATATGGAACAATTGTGAGGTTTAAATGTCTGTTTGGCAAAATGCATCTGACCGTTACCTCATTTTCATAGAACATTGATAATGTTAAGTTTATGTGATACTTGAAGTAAACCCTTCATATATCAGACCTTCAAAATAAAACAGGCGATATATTTTAGCGTGTACACTCTTGTTTTTTATCAAAGTTAAAAAATTGAACACAATTTGACGGATAAGCCTGACGATTCTGAAAGTTGAGTATATGCACTTTTCTCTAAATAATCAAAATACATACTGGTACTTAACTAAAGGTATATAGGTATTTTCACAGATAAAGAAGTACCTAGCTATGATATAGATAAAGGCAACAGTAGTATACCGCTATTCGAAATTCATAAATCAATTGAGAAAAAAACAAATCCGGGTTACAAACTAAAACTGAGGGAAACACATCAAATATAAGAGGAGAACAACGACACAACAGAAACTCAACACTAAAATGCAAAACACACAGAAACGAACTATAATATAACAATGGCCATTGTCCTGACATGGTACAGGACAAGTTAAGAAAAAATGGTGGGTTTGTTGCTAGCCAAACCTCCTGCTTTTATGGCAATGTTAAATATAACATTCAAATGACAAGATTACATGACAGGACTACAATACAAATAAATGAGAGAACATACAGGACAGAGACACACACAAATAATAGCTATCAAAAGGTACCAGGCTTATAATTTAATACGTCAGGCGCGCTTTTCGTCTACATAGAAATTCACATAAGATATCATTAGGTAATACTATGTTATGAATAACAAACTTGAAACAGTTTACAACCATGAAGAATGTCGATCATAACTATATGTGAAGCACAACTTTAACAATTTGAGATACAACTCATTTCTGTGTGTGTATCGGGGACGGACGGACGCCACAGGGAGATTATCTATATAAATAACTTGCTTTTGATAAGTTATTAAATTTGTGATATATGTATTTTTATATTCTTTATTTCAAGGAAAATATTTTGTATTCTTATCAATACGCGTTCGAAGTTTAAGACTGCACTTGCAAGTAAAGGTCGTGTATTCAAAATCATAAAATGCAAAAAAAAATACATTTTTCAAATAAATCATTTGACATAAAAGTTCATAATTAATATGAAATTATAATACATAATTAATACGAAATTACATCAACTTAAATCATATCAATTGAATAAATGGCAAACACTAGCATAGGTGTGGAAAAAAATCCGCCACAAATCCACTCTGAGGTTGAAAGAGTGGATCCTCCAATCAAGGACTCTGGCGACGTTAATAGAATTTATATATAACCTGTTAAAATTTGGAAGCATGGCATTCACATACACCAAAAAATAACATTATATATTTTGTAAAACGTTTCCAAATTGAGGTGAAATATTAAAAGTTCATATAATCATAAACCTACATATATTACTTTTAAATTATTTCTTGCTGATAAACATGATTAAAGGTGTAAATCTTATTCCAGACAGGACCAGAGCAATAAAATTACAGTAATCATCGTTTTTAAGTATATGTATTCACGTATTAGTACAGTTATCAACTAAAAACATGTTTGCCTCATTTGAGAGATCTGAAATATCTCTCCATAATCATTGTGTACTGGACAACGAATAATAAAATGTTGTTCATCTTTAATCATGAAATAAATAGCATTAAAGTTTTGGCAGGCAATTTTGACCCAAAACAGAAGCATAGCATTTTATTACTAAAGATCATATAAACGTTTTGGCAGGAAATGCTGACCCAAAACAAGAGAGTTGAAATTGTATTAAATAAAGATCATAAAACATTTTGGCAGGAAATGCTGACCCAAAACAAGATAGTTGTAATTGTATGAAATAAAGATCATAAACGTTTTGGCAGGCAATACTGACACAAAAAATCTGAAGCATAAAATTATGTCATTAACTGAATCCTTTTTATCCTGTAAAATTCCATAAACGCAGTTGACTTCAATCCTCGAATCACGGATACGAGAATTCCATCCATGAGCTGCACTTGAAGTCTTTTTTTCTAAAACTATGTGCTGTATAGTACCGAGAGTCGAAACCAATTAACGACAGAGCCAACTTTAAAGAGGTGAAGGAATAAGACAGTGTAACTGGTGCTTCAGACTTTCATTGGAACTAGGGTCCAGTTGTGTATCCAAATGCTGATCGAAGACACCATTTGTAAATTAGTATTGATAAAACAGTCATAGTAGACATTTGCCAGTCAAGAATTATTATTGATAAGACTCGCACGTCCGGATCAAAATTAAGTATATGTCATAAACGTCAGTGAAAGAGCAACCCATCAACATCCGTATGTTTGTATTATCGGAACTATGACGTACCACTGATAAATAAAAGTATATGTAAGATGTTGATATCACGCTTTATTGCATATTTCCTTCAATGGGCGAAAGTTCTTACGTAGATGAATACAAGACTCAGCGCTCTTTGTCCATAGTTAAAACATGTAGTAAACAAATTAAAATGTAAAATAATGAAAAACAAAAAATGTCACTCTATAACAACCTCGATCTAACTCTAGAACAGCAAACATAACACATTTTAAGGTATAAATATGCGATATTTTTTTTTCGTAAAAGACAAGCTGAGTATTTAAATAACTGTATATATGTTAGACTCAGATCAACGTCCTGTCTCTAATCGACGTCCGTTCCTCAAATTGACGTCTAAATCTGACGTCACGTTCTGAAATCAGTGTCTAATATTTCAACCCTGTAATCGACGTCCAATGTAACGTAATGAATCACATAAAAAACGTCCACGATTTCATTGAATCAATTATTTTTTAATTGACCTTTGTTTATATTATATGTCTCGTTTTGTCATTTTGTGAAGTAGCTTACAGAAACTTTATTTGTTGTCTTATATTGTTATCAAAATAAAAAGACAAACACAAGAAAATAACAAAATAACAATGAGACAATCATCAACATCATATTACTATTACATGTACATGCATATTAATATTTTGGTGAAAAACGTTCATATTCTCGACCTACGTTGTCGTTTTTTTTTCTTCCTTTTTCATATAAATAAATGACATATGGGTATTCATTGTACGACAATGAGACATCAAACCCAAGGCCAAAAACAAAAATAATGATAAGACATCTAGAGGGCAGTATACAGACTGAATAAATAGAAAGAATAAAAACGTACAGCCAATTGTTGAAAGTTTTATGATTTGAACTTATATTTTCAAACAAATCTTTAAGTTTTTATTCAACCCACCCTTTAATAAATTTGTGATTTCACTGTGTCAAGTCCATAAAACGGACGTCGATTAGAGAAGCTAAAAATTGGACGTCGCTTTGGGAAGAAAAAAACGTCGATTAAAAGGGCATAAAATTGGCCGTCGATTTGGAATTTTATTTTATTGTGACGTCAGATTTGGACGTCGGTTCGAAGAACAGACGTTGATTAGAGACCGGACGTCGATCTGAGTACTACATATATAAAAACGTTTGGACTATGTTTAAATCCTTGGCAGGCTTTATCGCTTCAAAAAGATTAGAAAGGCCTTCATATATTAACTTGAAAAATCTTCTTTAACATATGTTCATCGTAAAAATC